CGGCAACTCCCCCAACTGTTTCAACTGTCTTTAGGTTCCCTGAAATGCTAAGCTGCTCTTGGACCAAGGCGCTAGGAAGTGGAGGGAAGGAACTGTGTTTCTATTTAACTAATTAGCAGTCCTGTGTCCTGGCCAAAGCACACACAACGTTACAGCCATTTTTAAGCTGTTACATTGCCTGCATAACTGCTGCCGAGGCAGCCAGAAGGAGCAGCAAAGTAGTGAAGGGCCAGGGAAAGGGTGGGAGAAAGGGCCAGATTCTGTTCAGTCAAATCCCACGTAAAGCTGAGTAACGTCAGCGACTGACAGAGAATTACCGCAGGTCACCAGCAGCTTAGAATAGCTAAAAAAAAATTCACTCCCCTTTTTAGTGCTCAGCTGTTGCTGCTTTTAGAGCCTGGTTTTGAGTCGTTCCCATTTAGAAGAGGACCCTTCCTAAGGTATTTCAAGCTGTGTCTTCCCTCTACGCCCCACTCTTCTTTGCCCAGCATTTTCTGAAAGCACTGCTCTCCCTGACATAGATTTAATCTCTGTAAGAATACTTAGTGCCCAGCTTCTGCTGGCTTCTCCTTTCTATGCTGCATCCAATTTTTTTCCAGGGCAGTCCGAGGGTGGGGTAACTATCCTCAGATGTGGTGGTGAAGGAAAGACAGGCTGAGCTGCCACAAAAGACACAGGCTGGATTAACAGTGAGCAGACAGTAATACACAAGTGGGACGTTAGCTGGGACAAGTGAGACTTTCCAGCAGGCAAAAGCTACTCTGCGCACACGTCGTGAGGGCTGCAACGAGTTGCACTTGCGCTGTGCCTACCAGCACATATGGTGTCAGAGGTGCGACTTGTGCTTTTATGGGACCCTTCAGGAGAAAGAGATGGTGGGCTAGTACTTCACAGTTTCTTTTGGTAAACTTTCAAAAACCTGGTTCTAAATTAGGAAGCAGCTCCTAGAAAAGATGTAAAGTGTTGTGCTGTCATCCCAGGATTGGCAGCATTTGGAGGCTGCACCTGGAGAAAGAGAGAGAGAGAGACTGACTCTGGCAGCGTGGCTGCTGTCTGTGCCCTCCTGCAGAGAACCTGCCCTGCAGTGGAACTGATTACAGTGAACAGCTCAACTGACTGAATTTCCTCAGGCAGGAACAGGCCTTCTCGATAGCAGAAGAGCTGAGAGCTTTTCCTGGAAGCTCTGATGCATCAGAAAGGGAATTTCCCTTAGACTTATTCATGATTCGGGAAGAATGGACTCCTATACAGGCACTTCCCCAGATCTCAGTTTCAGTGCATGGTCAGCTATGAGTAAGAGCTCTGGAGGCACCAGTTCCTTATGTTACTCTGCAACACAAAGCAGTGCTGTTAGTGCCTCTGACTCGCAACAGGCATGTGGGAGAAGGGATAATGATGAGAGATTATAAATTATGATGCTAAGTCTACAGCATTACTCAGTTTAAGAGCAGCTAGATAGAGATGAGTTTCACTCAACAAAAAAAAGAAATAATAGACTCCTTATAGTAATGTTATTGTCAGTGATCCCTTGCTAATTGCTGACTAATCATTGCAACTTATAAAGCCTGTCTTGTTGCTTGTCCTAACCATTCACAGATGTTTGTGCATTAGAACATAGATGTTCCTTTGAACGTATAAAAAGGGTATTCAAAGTAATGCGAAACATACTCCATTACAACTAGTATTTATTAAAAATGCAGTGGACAAAAAACAAAGCAAGCCTCCAAAAAGTAGTCAGTTCATTGACATATAATACACCATTGCCCACCCAGAACCACTGAAACATGCAGTGCTCATTTCAGCTCACTTCTCTTGCAAAATGTTGACTCGTGCTTGGTCATTATCTCTAAGTGTGCGTAGTTTCAAGACTTGATAATGTAACATGAGATAGAATGGCACCAAAGTCTTGTTTGCCCGAAGCTTCCAGCCACTCTCAACCCAAGGAAGTAGTCAAATGTGCGTAAATAGCAAGATGTGCGTGGCAGTCATGCATGTGCTCTGTAGTCTTCTGGTACAGTCTTGAGTCCTTTGTGTGAGCTTTACAGCATGATAACAAAATCCTTGGAAGCCAAAGAATCATATGCCCCAAAGCATCATTTTACTACTACTGTGTCTAGATTCCTTTTAGTTTTCAAAACTATCGAGAGACTGGGTGAAGGCAGGGAGGACTAGGTGTGTTGTTTGTAGTGGGGGGAGCTAGGTGTGAATCACTTAACCAGTTCCTTTTCCTGGCAATTTGTTTCCACAATGAGCTAAGGAAACTTTTGTGCTACAGGCACGGGAGCTCCACAGATGAACACGGTCTCTGGTATTCACAGGGTTGGGGCAATTGTTGGCGCTGGGTACAGCAGTGCTAGGTACGCTCCAGGGAAGGAGCAAGACTGTCCCTACTCTTAATTTACAGACAAAGCAGTGATATTGAGGGAATCAGGACTGCAACACTGAATGTAGGTGTACAAATGTTTACGGAGTTTGGGCACCAAGCTTTCCAGACTCCTCCTCCTTTCAGCTGTAGCCGTCATGTGTCCTTGTACGTGCCTTATCTCTCAGTGACAATGCATAAAGAATCAAATTAATTCACCTGCAATGGAAAAAAAGTGATTCCTGTAGTAGCTAGTGTATGTGATTTGCAAGGGATGTGTGGTAAAACCTGTTGCTTCCTCATCGTAGACCTGTGCTCACTCTAAGGGAGAATGATCATAGAATCACAGAACAATTCAGGTTGGAAAAGACCCTTGGGATCATCAAGTCCAACCATTAAGCCTACACTGCAAGGTCACCCCTAAACCATATCACCCAACACCACATCTGAACAACACTTGAACACATCCAGGGATGGCGACTCAACCGCCTCCCTAGGCAGTCTGTTCCAGTGTCTGACCACTCTTTCTGTGAAGAATTTCTTCCTAATGCCTAAAACTTGCCTAAACTTGCCCTGTTGCAACTTGCAACCATTCCCCCTGGTTCTCTCCCTAATTACCTGTGGGAAGAGACCAGCACCAACCTCTCTACAATGTCCTTTCAAGTAACTGTAGAGCATGATGAGATCCCCCCTCAGCCTCCTCTTCGCCAAACTGAACAGACCCAGCTCCCTCAATTGCTCCTCACAAGGTCTATTCTCCACTGATGTGTGTGACAGTGTGGTGTGTGCTTTACTGATGCTCACAGTAATTTAATCTTATTTCATGAAAAGCAGCTGAGTACAAAGTTTAAGATGCTTTTTTGGTAGCCTCTTACATTATTAGAGCTGTCCTCACCTCCCTGTGCATCTGGAGGGAGCACCCTGAATCATATGCAACTTCACATTAGCCATCAGCACTAGAAAACAAGTAAACCAAAGTTGAAAATGCCCTGTTTAAAACATTTAAATTAAAGGACCTATCAGTATTAACAAGGTTGAGTAATTTCTTATCTAGGACACTCAATTATCAAAGTTATTTATTGCTATGTGACAGTGGCCACCGGTACATTTATGGGGACACTTAAGTGCTCTGAGGCCAGACGACTTCATGAAACCAAACGAGTGAAACATGCAGGAAAACACTCTGGCCAAGGCAACAGCAGCTACCTTACTCTTCCAAGTTAGCTATTAGTCTGAAGGTTTGCTTTATCTGTCAAGACTATGCAGGTTGCTGGTTATTAGGATTAAAAAATTGTGAGTTTCCTGGGGCTTGGTGTGACATCTATTTCTAAAGTCAGAGGGAGATGACACCTACTTCTGTGCAGGGCATAATTAAGCCCTTAAGCCTGCAGACCTGGGGCCTCAATGTATTTGAATGCTAAGGTCAAAATGCTGGAATATGCTTCTAACATTGTAAAAGGTATCTCTTGGATTTCCTTTCAGATCAGCAAAGTAACTCTTCCAAACCCAGAAATCCTCTAAATCTAGATCCTGTTTTATAGAGCAGAGAATTGGGCAGCTGCTACTTTTTTTCCTTTTTTTTTTTTTCATTTTGAAACTGGTATCTGGATATTTCCCACTTACAGGCAAGGGAAGCAGTAGCAATGCAAACAAATGGGAGCTGCCCCTCTGACCCTTGCTGTTCCACAATTATAGTCTCTGCTGTAAGGTAAGGTTCTCCCAAGCTGTGTTCTTGTTACATTCTGAATTCAACTAAGGGAAGTCAGAGGGACAGACCGAGAGAAACAATTCTGAAATCTTAATCCTTAACTTAAAAATAGGTGCCAAATAACAGCACTTCCTTCATTTCCAGAATTCACAATTTTGTGGTGTGGTGACAGCAGCTGTGAGTATTTCACTGCAAGAAGAAAAAAACAAAAATGAAACACCTCTATGGCATAACTGGGAATCTTTGCTCAAGCTCATGGTGAGGACACTGAAACAAAGGTAATGGCAGAGTGGACAAGTCTGTTGTCTAAAGAAAAAACAAACCAAAAAAACCCCACACATGCAGTTATCAACAGGGATAACTGGCTCCACTCTTCACCCAGCAGCAAGCTAACAGGGTAAGGCAAAACTGGAGTTGTTGGGTTGTTTTATGATGCACCCGCTGAGGTCTCCTAGCCTGCCATCTGAGAAACAGTAGTCCTATAACAGGCTGAACATGAGCAGTGGTCACCTGGAGAGCTGGAGGTGTCTGGATATGACCTAGACCCTTGAGAAGTCTCCCCTCTGCCCACCTGTCTTACTAAGCAACTTCACCTCTTCAATCACAATGTCATGAGTAACTGCTTTGCACATGTCATACACAGTCAGGGCAGCCAGGCTGGCAGCTGTTAGAGCTTCCATCTCCACACCTGTCCTCCCCCAGGTCTGACAGGAGCTGTGAATCACCACTGCGTATCTCGTCTCATCCAGGCTCAGAGACACCTCGACATGGTTGAGGGGGATGTTGTGACACAATGGGATCAACTGGCTGGTCAGCTTGGCTCCCTGAATTCCTGCAATCTGGGCTACTGCCAGCACATCCCCTTTCTTCATCTGATTCTGCCTCACCATCCCAAATGCCTTCTCACCCAAGCGGACCACAGCACCAGCAACAGCACTTCTTCTCGAATCTGGCTTCCCTCCAACATCAACCATGGTGGCCCGTCCTTCCTCATCAGTGTGAGTCAACTTGTCAGAGGCACGAGGTACCTTGGTCCGAGATCCTGAATCCCTGGCACAGACTTCAGATCCTGGATTTGCCCCTTTGGACTGACAGGTCACAGAAACTTGGCTGACAGGAGAAACCTCAAGGCACTTTGTGTCAAACACGGAGCTTGGATCCTTCTGGAAGTCAGAGAAGCCTCTGAGCTGGGTTTGCAGAATTCCTGTAGTTATGTGCCACTGTTGCTCTAGGTGAGATCCTGGCAGTAAAAGTTGTCCTGTAAGCTTATTTTTCGCTAATGTTTTTCCCATTTGTTTGGGTAAACTTGCTCTCAAAGTCAGCCAATGGCTAAATGTGTGGCCCCACTGTTTTGAATTTGGGGGATTCTGTAGGGCATCTTGGCATAGTGGGAATGACATCAGTGCAGGCTCTGGAGGAAAAAAGGAAAAGCAACATGAGAATACATCTTACTAACTGGAAAGCTAAGTCTGCAGTAGCTGAAAACACTGTCAGAGCACTGCCTTGGACTTTCTGTATTGCAAAAAACTCAATAAGCCTGTGGACATCTCTTCTCCTCGAGCTCTTTCTCTCCTCTCTTATCAGGTCTCTGAATTTGCTGCTTTCTTATTATGAACTCCCAACACTCCAACCCCTTATTTCAAGGTCCCTGACAATAAAAAACAACTTGCGTTCAAAAAATATCAACACACTGAGAAAGCAACCAAGAAAAAGCAAGTTGCAGCATCTCAGCATTCATTTCAGATTGTCTCAGAATCAGTCTTTTGAAAGGTGTCAGGGTTAATAGGAAATTCTTGCATTCAGATTCTCAGCTCTGCCTTTCCAAACACCTCTCTCCCAGCACAGGTGGCTGCACTTCCTGCTTTCATCTCCTTCTGCAGGGAAGGGTCACACCAGCACTTGAGGACAGCAGGGACCAGAAGCACCACATCTGCACCTGCACTGTCTACAAGCTCAGAGGGCAACTCTGCAGTGGGAAACTCACTTATTGCTGCCAGTTGTTACCACGATAATGACAGATGAAGTTTAAGCACTGGAAGAAACATGATCCCCTCACTGACAGATTTTAAAATCTACTCAGAAGTATGTTCCAAGTTGAGCTGGCAGAGCTCCCAGCTGGCAGAGAGATAGTAAGCCCTCCTGCCCCTTTTCACCATTTAATCCCTTGGTTTTGGCAGTTGCACGGGGCTAAATGCCAAGAATCAAGACAGAAAGAGTCTTTTTCACACAAAAGTAGTGATGTAAGTAAGATAAAACAGTATAGTGGTAAGTGGTTAAGCCCTAGTTTAATAGTGTCATTGATAAGCATGTTCTTCTTTTTCTTGAGCTCCTGATCTCTGTGCTCAGAGAAACTTGGAATTAGGTTTTGCTCCATAACATCCTTTGGTAGCTGTGGTATTTGAGGACTCCCTTACTGATGAGTTTTCAGACTGCCCACAGGTGAATCAAAGCAGCTTCCCAGCCTACCTGCACCTTGCTGAGCTCCTCTGCTGCCCTGACCTACAAGTATTGCCTTGGACCAGCTGTCCACATGACAATAATAGACACAGTGTGGAAAACCCACTGGGTGCGGCCCTTCCTACTCCCCTTTAAAAAAAACAAACCAACCAATCTCTTTCTTGTTAGTCCCAGCTTCTGCTATAACAAGACTGATGATGCACTTAGCACCTATCTCATCTAGAGTACCCTCCAGACAATGATCTGAAAAAGTGCCTATTAGTGAAGCTTAAATCAACCATAGATTTCCTGATTATTTCTTTTAAATCACAGCAATAATCTAAATTCAGGCAAAGGCCCTTTTTGATCTACAACTGATGGCCTATCCATTAAAGTTAAAATTCCTGCAAGCTTAATGGTAATTTATTTATCCTCAGAGGAATTGAATTAAATGGACATAAATGTTTTGAGTGCAACATTGCTCTGCTTTGGAAGAGCACAGAAAATTATGCTTATTCCTCCTTTTTTTTTTTTTTTTCCATCTCTCTTTATACAGCAGGGCCTAACCTGAATATTTCTTCTAAAATCCAGGAACTCAAAAGTATGCTGTTCTTCTGGAGTCCCTGATTAAAGCTGAAGCTAAACCCTGGCAAGGTGTCTTGTCTTCAGGAGAAGCTGGACTGCAAAGGCAGGCAACTACTTACTTCCACAGGCTGAATACATGAGTGGGACCATGGAAAAAAAATATTGTTTGCTCAGATAGAGTGGTAAGTAAAAAACACAAACAGCAACGCCTACAGAGCACCTTTGCTTTTCCTAACTACCTACATTTTCTTCAAGTTGTACCTGGTTATCTCAATTGCTTGTATACCTGCAAAAAATAGATAATGGTTTTCTACAGCACTATATATAACACAACAGAAACCACCTGACAAACTCCATCTCCTTATACTCTATTACTGCATCTGAAGTTTTCTTGTGAAGTTTCACTGTGTTAGCTTCCCACTAACACAATCTTGGCCTGGGGCGGTGACAGGGGGAGAAAGTAGGAGACACTTAATTTGAGGAGGAAATTCCCGTAACTGAAGTGAACCTATGAGGAGAACAACCTGCCAAAAGATATATTGGGATTCAGGAAAAAGGGATGCGAACCATATAGCAAATGATCAGACAACAGCAATGCAGGGAAGAAGGCAGGTTTGGCTTACTGAGACTAGCAAAACCAATTAGTGATTTCCACAGCATTCATTAAGTTTCATTAAATTAATTCCATACACTCTCCCCTCCCTAACGGCCTGCATGCCAGGCATTATTTGAAGTAATTCAAAACACAATTAGGAAATCTACTAATGATTTGTCATGTGTCACAGTGGGATACTCTCCACTCATCTCCAATCTCTCAAATGACGCGGTGACTGCCAGCAGCAAGACTCAAAGGGACATGGAACAGCTGGGGGAGGACCTGGACAGGCTCCCTCTGTTACTTTGTATCAGACAATGTTAAAGCACTTTTTGAAAGGAAATTTGATGCATCTGATCTGTAGACATCCAAACTTGCTATGAATGCTAACTTTGGAATGTGGCGATTCTTTCAAAGGCATCTTGAAAAATTATGTAGGTCCCAGAGAGCTGTCAAGAGTTCGATATAGTATTTTTCATCTTAAAAAAATCCCAGCTTTTTTTCCTCATGCAGCAAGTTAATACACTTTAAAGAAACGGTCCTCTTTCCCCTTTTCCTGGAATGCAATAGAGCAGTGGACAAGCACAGAAGAGCAAAAGCAAAGAGAGAGACAATCTTTCACCACTGCATCCATTCACTAAAAATCAACCTGGAAAATGATGGCCCTTTGAGGAGGAGCAGCAAATGAAAAATATTCCCAGTGAAAACCTATGTTAAAAGACCTCTGTAGATTCTATTTCCAAATAAAGGGAACAGAAATACAAGCACTAGGGGTTTGGCTTAAATAAAGGGCAGTTGTTACATCACCTGTAGCAAAGACCGGCAAATTAATGCGTGTTACCCACCCCCTCCCCAAGGATATCTGTCCTGAAAGCTGCACAGCAGCAAACCTGCCTCAGAGCACCGATGTGAGGATGAGAGTTTGAGTTTGAAATACCATGTTCATCTCTTCCACCCTAGCTATACTTTTTTCCCTTCTTGATCAGAAACAATAGAACAATTTCCAATTAATCTCACAATGTCAATTCTTGCAAAGTATTCCTTAAGTCTAAGGAAGAAAAAAAAGTGTTTGGAAACAGCTGTCTTACAAAACAGGGAAATATATGCATAGAGGAGGTAAAGCCACACTGAAGATGTGAAAAATCAGTAAGAGAAGCCCAGCAGTGCCACAGAACTTCAAGCAGAAAGGGAGAGTTAGCAGACACCTTCAATAGGCACAACAGGGGGAACAAACCCCCCTGGCCATAGGGCTTGTCACGTTCCAGATACTACGGTTTTCGTGGTTATGTTCTGAGACTCTGCAGCAATAAGAGGACATTTCAAAAGAATGAAGCTTCAAGTTTCAGATTCTGAAGTAAAGTAGTGAGGTGGGAAAACGTGCGTAGCTGTCAGGTTACTGACTCTATAAAAGGAAAGTTCAATTTCGTAATGCAGGGATAAAAGTCCATCCTACGTCCTTTCTGTTTATGCGACATTCCAGTCCATAACACCCTTCCCAAATTGCCTTAAAAGTTACTCTATTATTCTTGTTACATACAAAGGAAGCAGATAGGAAATAAGATAGGAAAGCTAGTGATCCCTTTGGAAAATGTAATGAACTTTCAAAATTAGAGAAAATAAAACAGTGCTGTCCATCAGAAGACTGGATAAGGCTTGGTAGAGACATTAAACCTCTCTTCTTCCACTTCAGCATATTAACCACAACCGTCTCTTAGTAAACCCATTTCTCTGCCTAAACCTAAGAACTAAATACAAGTTAGACTTAAAAGCCCACCCTGCTCTCCCAGAGACAAAACCCAAACAAAATCATTGTATGTTTATTACGTACTGATTTGTCACCCACCAATCAGGATCATTGGCCGGTTTTTCATCTGGGAAATGTTAAACATGCCTAGAAATAAAATAAGGAACACATAAAAAATCCTAACTTTTTAGGTTTTGAGTCATACATCTAGTTTAGATATTTAGTTTTCTGCTCTTCACAGTGCAAGTTGCATGCTAGCAAAACCAAAGCTCAGTAAAGACTGAGGGAGCTGGAGCAGGGGGAATCTAGCATGGTATTATTTAAAACTATAGCTGACACAGTCTCCCAGCACCCAGATGCTACGGGTCTCTTATGTTGCAGAACCCCTTCCCAGAAAGCCTTCCAGAATCTGGATTACAGTCTACCTACTGCAGAATGCAAAAAATTAAAAACTGGAACATCCATAGATCTATGGATAAGCTCTTAACTGAGTTCCAGTTCAAAGAAGTCCAGTTACAGATGGTGCCAGGGACAATATTGGAAGAAGAAAGTCAATGTCAGGTAAATGCTGCTGATGGAAAAATGCTTTTACAAGAGGGAAAACTCTCCCCATTCCCAGTTTTCCCAAATCAGAAGCTCAGAAATAAATGGTCTAAAAGAAAATGAACGAATCCCTCCACCCCTTCCCTTATGTTTACAAGGCACTATTTCATCTACATCAGACCAATGTACTTTACAAGCTAGTCTATGGTCAGATTTAAAAGCTTCCTTTACTTTTTTTTTTTACGTACGATGAAAAAGGGCAAAACCAACTGTTGGTAATCTGAAAGACAACAAAAGGGCTAAAGCCTATTTTTAATGTGAAGGGCACTATTCCATGATCATAAGACAGTTCATATACAAGAGGTCAGAATTCCCAGCTGCAGCCAAATAACGAAAATATGGTTAGGTTCAGATGTGACTGAGATACAGTTTACATCAATATAAATCCAGAAAAAGACTAATAGAGCCGGAGGATGATATGACTGCATCATCACGGACTTTATGTCATGATCTTATGCTGGGCACAAGATGAGTGGATACGATTTTCTGCATGCTCAAAAAGAGATTTGTCACTTCTAGAAATGTGTTAATGCTGTAGTTGGCCATACAGAACAATTTAGCTTTAATACTTATTTTACAGCAAACTAATTTTTTAAGAAAAAAGGGATCTAGTGCAACTCCATCAATTTTTGCTTAGCTTTATGCTTTGCTGTTGTTACTGTGAGCAGTGGTACTTGCAGATCTGAAGACAAAAATCAGTCTTAAAGACTTTTAGACAGTCTAGATTCTAGTTCACGTGGAACATCAGAAGACTAAACACTGACATCCAGAGTTTGGACTATCTGCAGGACTGTCTGTTACTGGCTTTCTACCAGACAACACACTTATCATTAAGAAGCTTTTCCTTCTTTCTTTCTCCTGGTAAGTCAGTGCATACCATAGCAGTACCAGGACACTGTTTTCCCTCGTCACTACTGTTATTTCTCAGGTACAACAAACCTACCTGCATGCTGCTTCTTTTTTCTGCCCACTGCTGCTCCAATGATTTGAACCAACTCTTCCTCTGAGGCGCCTGACCGTAGGTGATCTCTCAAGGACACTTCTGCATTCCCAAAAAGGCACACCTGCAGCCAACCCAAGGAAACAATAGAGGAGAAATGAGAAAGAATTAAAAAAATGGCTTTTACAAGCATTTCGTACTAACTTCAGAGCAGGGCTTTGAAGAGGCCTCTCCTATTGAAGAAAGAACATGTTTATGGAGATTGTTTTCTTCATCTCTCTTCATGTAAACACACGGACAGCCTGCAACCAAAACACATCAGGCCTTCAGGATGCCTCGGTCATCTGACATTAGACAGCAGCACAGCTGTTAAAGTGCCAATTTTTAATTGAAAACTTTAATTTTCCCTCAGAAACTGCCAGTTTCAACGTGGCAGGAAATGGTTATCCTTCCCCTTTCTACAGCAAATGTACAGGCTGCTCTTGAAGGAGAAGAATTGGCAAGGTGATGTTTGGTGAAACAAGACAAGATCCTTGTGGAACACAAAAGCCAAGCCTTCACAGATGCTTCAATCCTTTTTTAGTGGGAAATCATCTGCTTGTCATATGTTTAAGATGATTTTAAATCAAAGATTAAAATAAATGTTTATATTTGCTGGCTTTGCAACCATGTTTTACAAAGAAAGTTGTAACTATGTTAGCAAAACAAAGAAAGCAAAAAATGGTGATATAACATCTCCCTAACGGCCCAACAAGCTTGAGCAAGAATACATACAGGATAGATAAAGGAGTTAGCCAGTAATAATTATGCGTCTTTCCATTCCCCTTTAAATCTCAGCTACTTTCAAGGGAAAAACTTCAACACTACTACTGCTTCATGAAAGCAAAGAGAATCGTCTTTCGCTACCAACCTTTAGATTCCCATCTGCTGTTATCCTCAAACGATTGCAGGATCCACAGAAGTGCTCTGACATGGATGTGATAAAGCTGATTTGTCCCTGGAAATGTGGCACCTTGTAACTCTGAAGAAATGCAGAGGAGAAAAAAAAGAAGAGACAAGTAGAGACTCCTCATTTTTAAAGCTCTACTTACTCAAAGACCAGAAGACATTTTTTAAACATAGGTTGTCTTCATTTTGAGGGCCACATAAGAGAAAAAAAAAAGCAAAATCAGCTTTTTCAGTCTATTCTGCCCTATATCTGGAAATTCATAAACTTGTGAAATGTTTGCTCTTGTAATTATCAACTGACAGGGGATGCCAATAAGCATGCTCTTACTCAGGCAGCCATACCCAGAGGTTCAAGTAGGCTAGAAATCCTCCAGGTGACACTGCACACCCTGAAGCAATACTGTTATTTCACTGAGCAACTGTTTTGTCAGGTTTGTTAATGTGCATTGACAGAGATAAACTCAAAAAAGTTTCAAAAGCTGAAAACACAGGATACAAGCCTGCCACTCATTACATCTGACTGAGACATGTAGTCAACACGCTATTTCTAAAGGTATTTCTATTTCTAAAGGTAAAGAACATGACCTGTGTTTAATAAGGGTCAACCTCCACACAGGCAGCTTGATTAAAATCCCAGAGTTACTACACTGAGTATTTTTTTTTACTCTCCTTGTCAAATATAAATGCTGAACTTGGGAGAATTTGAGGATTTAGAAAAGGGAAAGAACGGGGCCACGTTGTACATGTTCTTTGTCTAACCTCACCTTGGCTGTGCTGGAAGCTTCACAGGGCAGTTTCTCCAATTCAGGCCATCGCTGTTTAATTGTATCAAGCATTTCTTTGTAGCTCACCATCTTCTTGAAGTTCCATTTGTTGCCTAGGGTTAACAAAACCAGCAACACAACTTTAAACTGTGGATTTTATTTTCTCAATTTGCAGAGAGCCACTTTTACATTCTCTTCAAATCTCAGTTTTCCCTGTAGGTGTCCCAGCCCCAACTAATCCTGTTACTAACCATTCTCCATCTTAGACAGGGAAGACAGATAAGTTGCTAAAAATTGCCTTTTAAAACATAAAGCAATTGCTAATTCTCCCAGAGAACTCACCAAAACTTCCAGAAACAAGCCCATGGGGTGAATCACCATCCAGATTCACCCATAACCAAGGCACACTCTATGCCATGAAGAATCTCAAAGCTTACCATCAAAGGGCATGTATTCTATGAACCGCACATCAAGGGGCAGATCTTTTGTGAAATCCACAAAACCCAGCAGTTCATCCTCATTGAAGCCTCGCATCACCACACAGTTTACCTGCAAGAGAAGCAGATACCTGAACAAGGTTTCATAGTCCTTGCAGAAGGCAACATACATAGAGAGAATATTTTTTCTAAAAAAAAATATTAAAAGATAAGAGAAGTAAGTTGGCAAGGTTGCAAAGGTATAGATGATCATTTCTGCAAAGTAGGCCTGTAAGTTTTTGCAGCCGACCTAAAAGTTGTTAGTTGTCTTGCTAAATCGCAAACCAATAAAAGCTAGGTAACAAAGGCATCATCTTACCCATCTAAGATACGGCAGTTTTTACTGTCTAGAACTGACAACTCCACTCCCTAGTCCTATGTTGTATGGCTTCTGTAAAACTACCTTCTTTAGCACTCTTTATGGCAGATCATGAGCAAATTTCCCAGGCCAGGAACTGTTCACATAGCCATAGGCTGCAGGATGACTAGCTCTCCCCTTTTCCAAAAAGAAGTTAAAACTGAGTTTTCTGCACATTCCTCATAAACAACAGTTACATTGGAGCTTTAGGTCCTCTGGGTTTTATCTGAAGAACAACAGATAGCTGTGCAGTTATTAAGACTTACTTGTCAGCAAGGCAAGCTGTCATGTCTAAGCATTGTGCATCATGATTCTTAAGATATTTCAGGAAAGCCTAAAACCTAGTTTAATTTCAAGTGTTTTTCATAGCTATATAGCTTATAGCCACTTACACATAACAGATCTTCCAAAATAGTGGTGAAACTGAAGTGAACCGCAGTGGCAGAACTAAGGTGAGTTAAGGTGAAGTTTCACGTTACAGCTAAGTTGGTCTACCTGCACCTCCAGAAGAGAACTCCCTCTCTCTCAGCAGAGTCTGCTGTAACCAGCTGACAGAGATAAACCAGGCAAAATTTCATGTCTTTCTGCAGTGTAGTTTTCTGCCTGTTAACTCTCTTGGCTAAGTTCACATAAGGGTCAGATTAGAAGGGGTAGGAAGAGGCAAGAACAGAGCGGGACCACCCTGCAGGCAGGCAATCGACAGGCTACTTGACAGTACGAACCTGTACCCTCAGCTGCCCAGGGAGATTACACCAATTTCCCCCATTACCTCTTGATATGATCTTCAACCTACTACAATTTTTCCTCAGTTCTACCAAAAATTATTCACGGTGCAGGGGAATAATGAATTCCTCATGAAGTGAGCTGTATCTTTCATCACAAGTTATGGTAAAACACAACAGTTTCAGAGTAAACAAATGCTAGCTTTACCTTAACAGGACGGTAGCCAAGTTCAATGGCTTTGTGGATTCCTTCCATAACCTTGTGAAAGCCTAAGACGTAAAAAGAGTAAACATTTTTCTCGTTTAAAAACACAACGCAAGAGGAGCTTATTAAGTACAAGACAAAAAAACCCAATCTGATTCTGCAGACAGGGCTGCAAGTAAGAAGAGCTGCAAGTAAAGGACCTTCAATTTTACCACACACTCCCCCCCCACCATGCCCCAAAGGCTGCCAGTGTTACTGTGGTCAGGTCACTGAGCTCAATTTTTTAACTGGTATTTGGGAAGTCAACAATACCAGTATGCTCTTCTGCATCTTTGGACATCATGTATCACTCATTCTCCACTTCCTCATATGTCAGCTTTCCCTTGTGTTACGTTCTTCTTAAAGGAGTGGAAACAATTTGTGAACTGCCTCCAGATGCAATGAAGAAAGAATAATAAATTAGTGTTTATTTTATAACAATGGCACATTTCTTCATTAAAATGGCAGAATCTCACTGCTCTGAGTCCAAATGCAATATTGATAAGTGAATTTTAAATGGATCGTTCTAAGAATGCACATGTGGAAGGGAGTGGGGTTAGAAACAAGCAGAAGTTGCTCATTTCCCTGTCCATCCCTGGCTACAGATGTAATTGGCTTCCCAAAACTACTGAATATCCATTAGTTTGAAGATCACAGGCAGCATTTTACAGGATCATAATTTTTATGACTAAACATGGGACATTGGTGAGCACAGCATAGGGTAAATTTAGAGTATTTAAGGAAAGCAATTCAGTTGGCCTTTGACTTTTGAAAACAAATGAAAGATGGCAAAAACTGCAGCAACCTCAAGGGATGAAGTGCCCAGCCTCATCCCACCGTTTAGCATGACCTACACTTGTCAGCTGCTCCCAGACAGAGGTATAGTTAATTAAAGGCAAGTATCTTCACCCTTACATGTACATTTTAAATCTGGATGCAAAGTAAAGCAACAATGCAATTTTGGAATTCCAAAGGCCTTTAGGAAAGCCTCTTAATGATCTCATTCAAACCACACCTTCTGTCATTTTTGAACAAAGTAAGACCTTTCATCAAGATATCAATTTTAGATTTGACACGTTAGTCCTTCCCTGCCACACTCATGAGCTGGCAGACAAACAAGGTGACAGAAGCAAGAGTGAGACAGCAAGCAACCAAATTCTGGGTACACATTGCTGGTGAGTGGATGTGCGGCAGCACCGTGTTTGTGAATGTCCTTTCTACCCTGCCAGTTTCTAGACTAAGTTCCCTTCCTGTTCTGCACACTAAACTAAAGTATGAGAGACCAAACACGGTATGAGACTGAGCTCCTTCTTCCACAGCTGTATTCTTCAACAGCAAAGACATGCTAGCAAAGGGGCAATATCTTCCAGAAGTTTGTGCTGACAATCCCTGTGCTGTTCCTAGTCGTATGCTTTTCAGTGCGGGTCCATCACCTTCTTTTTCCAATCTCTTATCTACTGGAAACTCAGATTCTGTAGTGAAGGCATCGTACATTCTGTAGGCACTTTACCAGAAATAAGCAATAACAATAATATTCTGTGCATACTTAATATTGGATGTGTTCAAGATCAGAAAAAAATAAAAAAGGAGAGACAACAAAACTTGCACTTAACTGCTTTCTGGCTGGTAAAGGCATTATAAAGCATGGACACAGGAAAGCATGAGATCCTAACCGTTTTATAAGCTGCTCCTAATGCTAGTCCTGGCTGCAAAAAGAGAGGTGATGAACAAGAGGAAAACCAAGTAATAACTCTTGCAAGCAACTGTTTGAAGTTATGACTTGTCACTGTTCTCTTTCACCACCTACTTGTTTCACGTGTGCCCAGGAAGCTCACAGCGCTGGTGGCAGCTTTCATTCCAATTAAATACGTTCACAGGCTGAATGTGGCAACAGAGATAATGACACTCTGCTGTAAGCACATCCCAGAGCCACGAATGGGATCCAAAAGCTCTGCAACAGCTCAAAAATCCTTATGTATGACTTCAGGATTGCAGAAAGGTAAAACTGACCTTAACTAAAACGACCAGGAAGCAACCCCTAGCAAGCAGCAGATCAAAACCTCTGTATGTTTGAATACTCGCGTGCTTGGGCTCAGAGCTCGCTGTAGAGGTACAGATCAGGATTACAGCTTGCAATGCAGCGAACCCCACGTCCTTTCCAGTTCTCCCTCTCACCTCCTGCCATGCTAGCACAAGGGTGTGGTTTAGAACAGCTATCAAAATCTCTACAAACAAACAAAAAAGTAAGCTATTCTGATTAAAAACAAATGACACTGTTTCCACTACAAGATTATTTATCAGATAAATTCGTTACAGTAGAAAACCATAAAATCCATAACTGCATTTCATATTTTAATGTTAACAGTCTTCTGATTTTTCTTTATGGAAAGCTGTTAGGAATCCATTTGTATTGCCATATGTACTGAAACAAGCCTTCTAGATCAAAGTCCTTGTGTGGTGATGAAGCAACAAAAAGAATAAAACCAAAATACTGCAAAATATTAGAGCAGAACTGAATATTTGGTGTCATTGTGTCATGAAATATTGTCAAGGCTCAGAAGTTCTTTAAGTTTTTGTTTGATTTTAAAATGACAACCCTTCTCCTTTTCCACAAAACGAAAAAGGTCAATGTTTTTCATAATTTTAGATTTCTTCTCAAATCATAACTTTAGCCAGTTTTACAGCACAGAGAAACTTAGACACATCCAGAACTATCCTACGTGGATTGTTCTCCCAACACTTAATCCTTACAAGAAGAATGGCTTCAAGCCAATGTTTAATGATTCAATTACAGTACAACATTAGCTCATTTTCCTCGTACTGATCAAAACAGAAGGGACAGGCTGTGAAACAGGTTAGACTGTCTACCTGCAAGAAAGTACTCTTCATTTGTTCATCCATTAGAATGTATTGGATAGAGAGAAGTAGGAACATTGTGGTCCTCTAATGTGCTTTTATACATCAGTGAAATCTCTGATCATCATTCTCTCTATTCCAACTGTTTGGGAATAAAAGCACATGTATTACAAGTCACCTGTCCCAAAGACAGAACATTCCAGCCTTTTCTTAAAACCCTAGAATGAGTTTCCAGAGGAAGAGAAAAATTGATTCCAAGTTTATTGAGTTGCTGGTTAGCTCCAGAATTAGATACCACCTTTAAATTCCTAAGAAGTTACCAGCCTGTAGGAGTCTAAGACCAGGAATCCCTCTCACCTTAATAGAGCTATATCTTGTCGCCTCTGGAACTGTCACAGGAAACAGGGTAGCACAGTAGGGCAGGTACTTTATTCTTTGCTCATTCCATACTTGAAAATCTCCTATTAGATAAAAACCCCTCAAAAACAATTTTTTAAAAAAGTATTTTACATAATTTCAGCCCTTAAGAAAAAAAAAACAACACAAAAAACCCCGCAACTCGGCATTAATATTTTTACCTGGTTTCCACTTAAAAAAATAAATGCAATATATGATTTGGAGACTTTATTCTCCTCCTTAAAAATATTGAGTCATAGAAATTTCCCTGCTCATTCTCTATGCTCTTCAGCTGAACAATTTTTCTTTGTCTTTAAAGACCTTCATTTCTTTAAAGAGGGAAGAGAGGAAGAGAACATTTATATAAACAAAAAATTACCCTCATCCCCCAATAACTTTTAGCTTACTTTATAAGCAGCACATTCCTAACAGCTTCCAATCAGATATGAAAAGCTGTGGCCATATAATTCAGGAAGCTGGAGGATCAGGTTTGCCCCTTCAGTAGTGAAGGAAGGGCTTGTTCCCAGCAAATCTCACAAACCAGGTAATATTTAAATCAGAGAGCAGAAGGAAAGAGCATAGGCAATACCTGCTTGTGAGTAGATACTCCCAGATACTTCTCTGGGAGCCAACTGTGCCATGACACAACCAAATTAATGCAACAGCCTACGCTGGAAGGATAATACTGCAGTCAGATTTATGACAGGAACAGATTTCTGCACCATGAAGAAGTGCTACTAGAGAGATGGTTGACACAGACACCTTTCTGCACCTGCCAGCAGAACTCTAGTTTGACACAGGAGTGATTTCAAACGTTGAAATTACTTCTCACAGCATTCCAGATTTCGACATCCCTTGCCCTATATTCATTTTATGTTATTCCACCATCTAGTGGCCACTTGGAGGTTTTGTCTGAACTAGAAGTTCACAAACTGCCAAAGTTACATTACTGGACAGAAACAGAATGATACAAGATCAAATCCGTTTCAGCTTGGAAGGAAGCCCAACGGTGAAGCTGAACTTCATGATGAGCTTTAGGATTCATTTAAACAAGTATCTGTAATACTGGACAGTTGAAACTTTTTTGAAACTTTGTTTGGAATTAGTAACTCTGTCAGACAGAAGTTTCAAGGCTAGCACCCCTCTTCAGATGACCTCGGCATGGCTTACGTTTATTCCTGTAAAGAAATAGTGGAGGTAGGGAACATCACTAATCACAAGCTAGACCACTGCTAGCATGCCTTAAATATAACTTCCAGAAACTGAATTTCAGTTCTAGTGGCATCTTAGTCCCCGCTTGCTATAGCAGGAACTTCTGGTTTTTGAACAGTATGAAAGAGCAACACATAAGACCAACACAAGATTTGGAGAGTTCACTTGATATCCATGACTAACCAGTAATCAGCCAGTTACTGGCAGCTGTAGTCACAGTCCAACTGACTGTGGCGAGTTAAGCATTTTCTTCCCCACCATCTCCCAACTAAAGGGGCTCTATCTGCCTAAGGGTTGTAGAAAGAAGAAAATCACTACCAAATAAGCTGGCATGGGCTACTTTTCCTTGCCTCAGAAGGACAGCAATTCCCTGCCTTCCCAAAGTAACTGAAAGCCACACCAAACAACTCAACGACATTGCTGCAATTATTAACACAGTTGACTTAGAAGACAAGCCTGTACCTTTCCTCCGGACAATGAACTCAAATTTAGCTGGGACCAATGTATCCAAGCTAATGTTAATGGCATTCAGTCCTGCCTCCTTCAGTCGGGGCAGCATTCTGGTTAAGTTGATCCCGTTGGTTGTGACGGCAATCGTTTTCAGCCCTTCTAGCTTATACAGTTGACCTATGAAAATAAAAAGTAAAAAGAACACTTTAAAAGAAACTACACAGAAGATCCAAAAGAAGATTTGTGAAACAAATATCATTGAGAGTATGAGAAAAAGACGGATACTTCAGTGCTTCAGCCTTCTTCCAGCTGTATTGATTCAAAGGACCCATTTTAGCACAAATGCATTTAAATATGTGTGAAGGACAGTAGATTGTTGCAAGCAAGATTGGTTATAAAGAACACTAATTTTGTTCTACATTTCTTAGGGTAAATAGCTACTTTATTGTTGTTGGAAGAAGGCCTCTGATTTTGATTGCCTCTTCTTAAGTCTAGCTTGGCAAACCAAACTCTGTGTTCTGCAATAATAATAAGCAGCAAGCAATCCCTTTCACACCTGACACCTGAACTAGCTGCATTTATCTAGCAACATTTATCCTGCTATGCTTTACTAAAAATCAGTTCTAACCAAGAGTTAGCTGCCAGCAGTAGTGACTTCAAGCTGCTGAAACCACATATGTATATACATTAAATGGAAAAAGGTCAACATTATACACGACAACATCCAAGGAACAAAACACACTTGCAGCTGAAATACTTCCATTATCCACAGTAGTAGCCCAGCCAATCAATGATTAGCAAAATAAAACTACATAAGAAATAATTAATATAATGAGATTAAGATTTAGAAAATAGCTGCCTCCTAAGACAAATGCAGAAATTCTCAGCATACCGTATCTCCAGAGGGCAGGCTTTCAAACCTCCAGTTATCGGTACAATAACAAATAGAAAAAAAGCCCTCACAAAACATTTGCAGAAGCAGAGCCACCACAAAGTAATTTTCTTATTTTCCCTCCTCCCTTCTCTCATAGCCTCCACCCTAATTAGTTGAGAAATATTTGAAGAACCCTTACTCTTGAAGCAGCTTTAATTACAGCACAAATATTTCAGAGTCCCTTCTTCCCTCATTTTACCTCTATTTGTTCATGTTGATAAGGGCTTCTGCTATATCTCATTTCCCAGCTACTCTCAAAATATTCACCCTAAGCTGGGCCCAAAACTCTGGAATGCAACAAGCTGGCTCACACCGAAGACGCTGAATTTTACAGCAGCAGGATTTTGCAACATGATTAAGACTAGCTGCCATAGAGGCTTCGTTGCTAGAAATGTAAAAGGCATAAAGGCATTGGATAAAACCAAAGCCATACTGCAGCCTAAAATGGAAAAAAAAAATTAAGAAAGTAGCACCAACTGATTAGGTCAGTTAGTGACAGCAGACACCAGCTGTTATCAATGCATCTTCTTCCTCATGAGACAGGACAAGATACAGGATGAGGCACTGGAAATACTCTAATATGTGGAACCACCTGTAATAACAAATTAGATAGAAGCCAACTGTGAGAAATTAGAGAAGGAGACTTAACACCAACAAGTTAAAAAGGACTAGGTAGTACATTCTTCCCTATTTGTGCAAGCTAAGAAGTAAAACATTTGCAGTTGCTTGGTTTCTTGGCTTAATGACCTCTAAATTCAAAAGGGATTAAAGAGATTTTGTAACTTTGCCCTCACCTGGTACCTTTGTTAAGTCTGTTTGCTGACCTTGGGTCACTGCTGTAGCAACAGGCACCACAAGCAAAGGCAACTGATAAAACTATCAGGTGGAAAAGGAAACAGACCCAATGCTATAATTCAACAGCACAAAGCTAAAAGCTTATATGTCACACTCAAAGCAACAAGTAAAACCTCCGACATTCACTTTTTCCTTTGAGATCAGGAGCATCTTCTTAAATAAACAAATTTCTTAAATATTCTCCTCCAGCTGTTTCCTCAATTGCACTTCTAGACTGAGTGCAGAAAAGGTGTGTCTGTCTCCTAATACATGAATTAACAAGTCTATGTTGCACCACTTCACTCTTGAAATGTGCATGTTGCTATAAAAAGTCATCCAACCATCTGTCCCACGCCCCACGGAAAACAATTTTGTCAGCGGAGATGTGTGCTTCTCAGACTACTACTAACAATAAGCAGCTACCACATGATTTATGTCCAGTGCTAATTTAAACTTTGAGTATCTCAAAGGAGATGGATTCTATATCCCACTCTCAGCTGCTTCAGAAAAGTCTCAAGCAGATATTTTCAGCAGTTACCAGGACATGATTTAGCTTTCAGCAACGGTTAGTTGCTGAGTCATAGTTTATGTACGTGCATGTCTTAAACGAAGATTTGAAATAATCTAAAGAACTGTAGCAGGTCTCTGAATAACATGGTGTCCTACAGTAGCTTCAAATCACATTTCTTCAATGAAACAACAACAAGGTTTGAACTTAAGTATTAGAAAATATTTTTGAGCTTTATTGGTATTTCACAGAACATTTACCGTTAAGAGAAAGGTTAGCTGGAAACAAACCTAACTTAAATCTCAATTCTATTCAGCACCTGAAGTATTGTAGTTGGCTTCTGTTGCCTGATCTAGTTGAGAGGTGTCTCTGCCCATGACAGGGAGGTTGGATTAAATGATCTCTAAGGTCGCTTCCAGCCTAGGCCATTCTGTGGTTCTATGAAATCCAGATTAACTCTTTCCCAGGCTGAACCAGTACATTGTGCTAAGATGGCTTCAATAAAGGTGCTTAACTCAAATTCTGCAGATATTTTTGGGCCTGTTTTCCCTTCAGTGAATATTCCCATAGTTGTTACATGTGATCTGTTTAGTTTTGAGACTTTTATCTTGATCTCAAACTTGTGCACCACAGAGTAACACTAAAGTCTGAGAAGACAAGAAGTGTTTATAGGCTTAATTTGCCTTGGAAAAATTTGCCTTGAAGAAAACAGCCAGGCTAATACAAATTCAGGCAGAATGAACTAATGCAACAGGACAGTCATCTTAACATCCATTACATTTACCCCAGTATCACTTCTCTCATCATCCATTTAAACAATCACTGTGAATCCGTCAAATCTGAGCTGTGAGCTAGAACACAGGCAGAATAATGAAAGCCCAGTGGTTCAAAAGGATCCATCTCACTCTTTTTCAGCCACTAATAGAAACCTTTGAGAATTCTATCACTGCAGTAAGGCAAACAAAATGCTTTCCATGCATCCAGTATCAGCACTTCAGAATTGCAGCAATAATTATTTTGCAGTGATCCAGCAACTTACATCGTCAAACATGCAATACAGTAGGAAAGCAAGTTCTGCACTGAACTGATGTTGACTTAAAGTCATTTTTCATGCAAATACTATGTGCTGAACTGTAAAGCTTTGTTTTATTTTAAAATACAACCTATTTTATAAATATTCCCGCATTTTGGCTGGCAAAAGCCAACTAAAAATAATGATAGCTATTATTACTAGGAATGGGGAATGCCTACTTGAAAGAAACAAGTCTCTTGAAAGGCACACAGTGCTCTCAGTCCTAAATAAAAACTAACCTATCATATGTGGGGAAAATGTCCTAGAGAATGGTATTCCAGAGTTCCAAAAAGATTAAGTTAATGCAGTTTTGGGACTCCTCACTATCAAGACTCAAGGAGACCCAAGACAGCTCACTCTAGCCATACTTTTTGCAGCTTTTTTTCCAACTGCTCTGTTGCTTCCTTTGAAGAAGACCATAAAGGTCTTCCAAATCCTGAACAAAACCAAGCAGGAGCAGAGACTATCTGTTTTCAGCACCAAAGCTCAGTGTATCAGTCTACTTTTCAAGTAGATATTAACCCCTTCTTATCTTCAGTATGTATAAGAGTATACATGCAGAAACGGACAAGATCAGTTACCCACAATACACCAAAATGCACCCACCTACACAGCCTTAATACATTGCCACTACACAAATCTATGTCCATAAAAGGTCCCTAACATAGAAGATTTGAGTGGGGAAAAAAAAAGCACCTAGCTCAAAGGAAAACAAAAACAAAGCCAGATACAGTCAGCCAATGCAATACCAATCAAAGGAGACAGACTTCTAAATATTACCCAGTATTATATCTTCCACTGAAGTAATAGTCTTCATCAATAACTGTAGAAACACTGGCATTTCCACCATTCTTTGTTAAACACAGACAAGCAAGTGACAGCTGTTAGCACAGAAACAAAACAAAAACACAGATACGGTCCCCACGTGTTGCCTGGTCTAGTTGAGAGGTGGCGTCCCTGACCATGACAGGGAGGTTGGACTAGATGACCTCTAAGGTACCTTCCAGCCCATGCCATTCTATGATTCTATGAACCCCCTTCAAAAGTCCAAAAGAAAACCTGTTTTATTTGTAAGCATGTATCACGTGTTCCTCCCTACTGACAACCTGGTCACGTCAGTTCTTGATTTTCCACCCCAAGGCTGCAATATTGCAAACTACTCTAGTAGATATTGAACATGAAGACAACGCTAAGTTCAGCTGTTATCATATGTAGAGACAAAAATTCCATTCAAGCAGGAAAGCAGAAATGGAAGTTTTCTGAAAGGAAATAACTTGCATTTCACAATGTTGGGAAAAAGCACCATCATTTAATGTATAATTGTTTTTCAGGTTCCTGGACTGTATTAGTAGTTTTAAGTGTAAGTGCAAGTCGCTTTGAAACACACTGTATTGATTAGGAACTCACCCACAATATCAACGACATCAGGACGAATAAGTGGCTCTCCTCCAGTCAGTCGGATCTTCTCTACACCTTCTTTCACAAACAGCCTGGCTAGGGTGATTATCTCCTGAGCAGTAAGTAGCTCTGATTTAGGGGTCAGCTGAACACCTTCCTCTGGCATACAATACTGACCTGAAACAAAGAATATGGTAATACCTGGGGAAAAACAATAACCAGCAGCATTTAACCTAATATTGATAGGCAAAATGCACCAAGTGAAGGACACTGAGGTGCTGGAGAGGGTACAGGGGCAGGCTACCATGCTGGTAAGGGGTTTGGAGCATGTTTTGTACAAAGGAACGGCTGAGGGATCTGAGATTGTTTAGCCTGGGGAAGAGGAGACTGAGGGAAGACCTTATCGCTCCCTACAACTACCTGAAAGGAAGTTGTAGCGAGGTGGGGGTTGGTGTGTTCTCCCTTGTGGTGAGTGATGAGACAAGGGGAAATGGCCTTAAGTTGTGCCAAGGGAGGCTCAGGTTGGATATCAGGAAGAATTTCTTTACTGAGAGGGTTGTCAGCCATTGGAACAGGCTGCCCAGGGAGTTGGTTGAGTCACCATCCCTGGAGGTGTTTAAGAGACAGGTAGATGTTGTGCTGAGGGACACGGTTTAGTGGTGTTGATAGGGCTAGGACAAAGGTTGGACTCGATCTTGAAGGTCTCTTCCAACTGAAACTGTTCTATAATTCTGTAAGTGCAACTGTCTTCAAAGGATATCAAATGACTGCTTTTCTAAAATACAGATAAGACCATACACCAAGTCTTACAAGCAATTTTCTGTTTTCCTCCAGAAGAAAACACAACACTTATGTGATGGGTTTTAAAACTACAATGGATCCACTTTGAACGAAAAGCTGACCTAATTTCTATTTAAAGCATATTCAGAGACACCAAATTGAAACAGCAAGTGGTGGGACATTGCCACAAACTTTGCAGATGTAATTCGCAGGAATACCTAGGTGTGAGCTCTCATGCACGCTATCACACAGTTTGAGCCTAGCATACAAAAAAATCTAATCACCATCACCTAAACCACACCAAGTCTGATGAAAGACCTGTCACTCCCACTTGTCTCTCGCAGATCTCTAGGCTTGCTCCTGCTTCCCCATCTCACCAGCAGCTCAGCCCCAAATCAGTCTCTACCTTACCCTTTACCATTACTTGGTGAAGACAAGAAACAGCACGGGGCCAACGCAGCTGTAAGTGGTGTGACTCAGTTGTTGGCCTTTACACAATACAGTGCATAAGAGCTTTGTGCACGAAAGCAAGCAGACACTTACACCTGAGGTTGCATTTCTCGGTCAAAGAAATTCGCAAGTAGTTGTGCTGGCGCCCAAAGCTGTCGGTCAAAAAAGCAGAGAAGGGAGCAGCATGTTCCGGTAGAAAGCGTCCTCTTCCTGAGCTTTGCAATTCCTGTGTCAAAAACAAGCAAGTGCAAAGTATTTGAATAGTTATCCTATTAGTTTGCTGTATAAATATTACCTTTGAACTCAACTGATAATAATTATTATTTCATTTTTCCCCACAGGGACAGTTGCACAAGAACAACCCATGATTTGTTATTGATTAAGTTTCAAACCCTACTTAATTCCATGGAACTGTACTACAATTTTCTCTGTGCATACTAAGATACAGCCTTGTAGCCACAGGTGTTTCAGCCTTTTTGTGCAGAATAGGAAGCAACTTTTTTCAGCTGTGTGGCTCTTCACTTTCTGGAATCAATGATCCAGGACCACCCAAATCTCAGGTAAATATAAACATGTAGAAGGGTCCCTCCCTACACTTAAGCACAAGAAAACTAAGAGTTGATGCATCTCTGCTTGTGTCCCTGCGAACTTTCATGTGCATCTTGTTAATAGCTAAACCAAATTTTTGCTGTGTACAAATATGTTTCGTGATGTCTGTTTCACTTCCAACAAGGTATTCTTGCCCAGTTCCATACAACAGAAGACTTCCAAAAAAACTTGTGTCAGTTAAAAGATTATAAATAATACACAGCACAGTGGGGCTAGAAGAAAAATGTATGATCCTGAACACTCCACCTGTTCAAGCCTGTGTGGTTTGAGCGCGGTGCTGAAAACAATGACAATACCGAGGTCGCGGGTTCGATTCCCGCTCGGTCCCCATGTGTTCCCTGGTCTAGTCGAGAGGTGGCGTCCCTGCCCATGACAGGGAGGTTGGACTAGATGATCTCTAAGGTCCCTTCCAGCCTAGGCCATTCTATGATTCTATGATTCAGAATTTTAATAATGTCTTTATTAACTGTCATGAAGTGAATATTAAAATTTATTTCTATTTACAGTTCTGGGGTTTTTTTTAATACAATACAACATACTCTAGAGCAACACAGTTTTCAGGAATTACTAAGTATTTGCCCTCCACAATGAGGGCTGATCACTTTAGGTATCAAATGAGATGTCCCACATTAGTAGCTGTTACTGGAAACAAACACAGTTCAAATTCATAGTAAGCATCTTTAGAACATCACTACCATCAGAACCAGAACACTGTTGGTTATAGCAAGGTCTAAGCACAGGGAGCGTGACTGTCTTTAGCCCATGGGTTTCAAATTAACATTATTTCTATTTTTCTACAGCTGTAAATCACTGCTGAAACCACTCTGCTACTTTTCGAAAATACTTCAATACCTTAAGTGAAACATGCAGTAACTGAACGAACTTGTAAGAAGTACGAAGTTCTGAGTACTATCTTATTGCCAAAAAAAAAAAAAAAAAAAAAAAGTAGAAGTTTACCAACATACTTTAATCAGCTAGTGGATATTTGGTTCAGGCACTACATACAAATGTCCACAAACAACACTATCCAAACCCTGCCAAGTGTGTGTCTGTTCATCTACTATATCACACTTCAATTAACATTTTATAGGTGGCAAATTTAATAACTCTGACAGAAGCCAGCTGCATAGCATCACAGAACAAAACAGAGAAAACACGACCAAAGTAATTAAAGGAACTATCTTCACTTTGTCCTTGTTAACAACATACAGCCACTTAATAGCCAGGTGAGAAAGCTGAAAGAAAGCTAAGGGATTTCTGGACGTAGAATGAATTTCATCTCCAGTGAAAAAGCAGATATAAAACCACTTCTGGATAGGTGGGTGTGGGATTAAGGCACCTTTGCCTAAACTTTACTTCTAACCGCAAGGCAACCATCCTGGCTAAAACATTGCAAGAGTGCTGAGCCCTCAAAAAACTAACCATTCTCATGGCATTTGATGTGGGATAATTATCTCAAATTGCTTAACTGCCTACATATCATTGTTCACACATTGGAACATCGGGAAAGTTTCCAGGACAGCGTGCAGCTGGTGCATAAGGAGCTCTCCCCACAAAGGTTTCCAAAACAAACTTAAGAGTTGGTAGCATTAAGGGAGCTTGATGTTCTCACTCTAATAGAAAATCCCATAGAGCATGGAACAAAGCGGAGATACTATGGTCAAGCTCTGTGAACACAAAGGAACCTGGAGACCTCAAAGAGCCAGTTGACTGCACATTTACTATCCTGGGCCAAGAGTCTGTCATCTTTTGATAGATGCTGGGTTTTGGGTGAACAATGCTCATTATAGTATCATTATAATACCAAAACACACCTCCATCCCAAAAAGCTACCTGCCTCCGAGGTGCAACTACCCCTCACTGAGCTTGCTCATTGAATTTTTCTAGTCTATACCTTTAAATGCGAAGCGGGGAAAATTTACACCAATCATAACAAAGATATGCATTACTAGAGTCACTCAAGCTCCACCTGAAAGGTAACAAATAATATAAAAATGGCCCAAGAGAGGGGGAACTTTAGGGAAGATACCACCATCATCAGGGAAGATACAATGACAGACCACATCTGACTCCTGGGATCAGTCCATGGGCTGAGCCTCTCTTTTCCCCCACAGGGACACCTTTGAGTAAGGTCCAAACACTTGGTTTCACCAAGTGCTGCCCCGTGATACTTAGGAAATCTTTATAGAGCTGCAGTCAGTCGCTATCACTAGCAATCAAAAAGAATTTGTGTATCTGTTGCTTCAGTAAATTATATTTGATTCCGATCTGGCCACTTGAGTCCCTGCTGACCCTTTACCCATGGAGTTTGGCCGTGTGAGTATATTGCCACCCTCGTGAAAGATGGCCTCATAATTCCAGAGGTGCCGCTAGATCGAAGGCATATTGTCACGTTGCATTAGTAATGATGAATTGGGCATCACTCAGAATCTAAGCCCAGCCATTCCCAGCCCCTCTGGTATGAGGACAAGCTGGAACACAAGGGGGTTTAGCTTCTGCCAAATTGATTTGCCCCTTTATCCATGGAGTTTGGTTGTGTATTTGCAACAGCAATTGTTGCCTCTTTTTGCAACAGCAATTGTTGCCTTTTTTAAGGCAACAGGAATTGGCACCTCCTTTTTGCAACAGAAATTGTTGCCTCTTGTCTGCAACAGGAATTGTTGTCTGTCTCCTTTTAACTCGACAGTGGGTGTTCACAAAGCTGAAAAAATGAGGGGAGAAATAAATCAGCTGCAGAACTGTGCCTCAAGTCAAAATCATGGTGGCTTGTCTGGATAGGCTGCAGCAGGCAAAGGGTTAAATAAGGTTTTGACATAAATTTAAGATGGCGAATGAGGAATCGGACAAAATGACATGTTAGTATTCAGAGTGCTTAACTGAGCAGAAGTCATGATTTCCATTTAGGGAAAAACAGACCTGTGAAATCTCCATACATACCAGAATTGGCACATATGGGACGATGCCAAGGGACTGGGCAGAAACACACACAGCCACAGCCACCTCGCCCTGGCTCTGGTCACAGCTAGTAACCACCAGAGGTAATCCTGCACAGCCCCTGCAAATACTCTGGGAGCGGTCAGCTAAAACACTGAACCACCCAGGCATGCTTCCTCAAAACATTTTACTCTGAAAACATTTGTAAAAAAGATTTGGGGGTGGGTGGAAGACAGAGAGGACACCTTCAGCGACCGGATCAGCCAGACAGCAGAAGTTATCTAGGGAGAGGCCCAACTTCAGCCGCCAGCAGCGGCAGCAATTTTGACTCCAGCTGCGCTAACACCGCGGCTGCTGCTAAACTACCAGCAGGAGCAGCCTTTCTTGGCAGCTCGACCTTTCCACAAGCCCTCAAACAATCCGTTACACTTCTTGATCCAAACAGCCTTGAGGTTAGATATGAAGATCTCTTTAAGAACATCCCTGGCAGTGGGGTGTTAGGAGAAGATAAAGGGGACACCAAGTGGCTGTTTCAAAGCCCACGAAGCATATTTACCCCTCATAAAACAGCAGCACGGCTTTTTCTGCTGGAAGAAAGCCAAATCTTTTGGTTTCTGTTTTGTAGTACTGGCCACGACAGCAGAGGGATAAGGGGCGCAAGGCCAGCCCTCCTCAGGCCCGGCCCTACCTCCTTGCAGCACCCAAGGGTGTCAGCGGCAAGCCCTGCACAGCCAGTGGTGCTGTGCTCATCTACACGCCTCCTTCCATCTCCCTCTACACACACAGGCAGAACAAGCCATCTGGATTTTAATCGCCACCTCCCCCAGCCTGGGCATCTGCGGATTGTTTGTGAGCTCCACACAGCTTTAGTTTCCGCAGGAAACACCAACTGGGAAGTTTGCTTTGCTAGAAATGCTGGCTCTGCTGCACTTATTGTCAGAGTTTCTCAGAAGACAAGCAGGGATAAGTCAAAAAGCCCAGCTAAATATCCAGATTTCTTTTTTGTTTCTTCCCCAGTTAGAGAACTCACCTCTGAACAAACTAGGTTATTTTAAATACTGCCAAACTCAGAAAAATGACAACACAAGAGTATTTTTTCTTGAATACTCCACTGCTTTCTAGCCCGGTTGGATTTCTAATGTTCTCCTTCCTATTATTTTGGAAAGGTATTCATGTTTGAGAGGGAATGCATTACCATGCTTACTAAATTGTTTTAGCTCTTCTTTGGGAGCACTCCTCTCCTTTCTTTCTCAAAATCTCCTCTTTGCACCTGTTTCAGGAGTGTGTGTTCCTTACACACTCCACCTGAAGAGTATGAACCTCCTGCCTCCTCATTTTAGACTGCACGTTACAGGGAGGGAAGGAAGTGATAAGCCGTTCACCTGACAGAAAGGAGCCAAGAGAGGGAGACTTTAATGATTGTAAGTAATGGATGCCAGAACTGCACACTGTCAAGGGCAATAACATACTTCAATTAATTTCCTGTTTTCAGGAAGGAGTCACCACTGCAGTGAGACACAGGAGACAATGGTTCTGTTCCTGGTCTGCCGTCCACCTGCATGGCTGTTACTTTAGCTCCCCTTGTCTGTAAGATGACTTACTGGAGGAATAATACCACCCTTCATTAATTACTCTAAAGCGAACTGTCAAAAAGCAGTA